CAATAACATATAACCACGTGTTCTGGTGGGGTAAGCAATAACATATAACCACGTGTTCTGGTGGGGTAAGCAATAACATATAACCACGTGTTCTGGTGGGGTAAGCAATAACATATAACCACGTGTTCTGGTGGGGTAAGCAATAACATATAACCACGTGTTCTGGTGGGGTAAGCAATAACATATAACCACGTGTTCTGGTGGGGTAAGCAATAACATATAACCACGTGTTCTGGTGGGGTAAGCAATAACATATAACCACGTGTTCTGGTGGGGTAAGCAATAACATAACCACGTGTTCTGGTGGGGTAACCATATAACCTTGTGTTCTGGTGGGGTAAGCAATAACATATAACCACGTGTTCTGGTGGGGTAAGCAGTGTTCTGGTGGGGTAAGCAATAACTTAAAACCATGTGTTCCGGAAAGTAAGCAATAACATATAACCACGTGTTCTGGTAAGGTAAACAATAACTTAAAACCATGTGTTCTGGTGGGGTTAGCAATAACATATAACCACGTGTTCTGGTGGGGTAAGCAATAACATATAACCACGTGTTCTGGTGGGGTAAGCAATAACATATAACCACGTGTTCTGGTGGGGTAAGCAATAACATATAACCACGTGTTCTGGTGGGGTAAGCAATAACATATAACCATGTGTTCTGGTGGGGTAAGCAATAACATATAACCACGTGTTCTGGTGGGGTAAGCAATAACATATAACCACGTGTTCTGGTGGGGTAAGCAATAACATATAACCACGTGTTCTGGTGGGGTTAGCAATAACATATAACCACGTGTTCTGGTTGGGTAAGCAATAACATATAACCATGTGTTCTGGTGGGGTAAGCAATAACATATAACCACGTGTTCTGGTGGGGTAAGCAGTGTTCTGGTGGGGTAAGCAATAACTTAAAACCATGTGTTCCGGAAAGTAAGCAATAACATATAACCACGTGTTCTGGTGGGGTAAGCAATAACTTAAAACCATGTGTTCTGGTGGGGTTAGCAATAACATATAACCACGTGTTCTGGTGGGGTAAGCAATAACATATAACCACGTGTTCTGGTGGGGTAAGCAATAACATATAACTATGTGTTCTGGTGGGGTTAGCAATAACATATAACCATGTTTTCTGGTGGGGTAAGCAATAACTTAAGACCATGTGTTCTGGTGGGGTAAGCAATAACATATAACCACGTGTTCTGGTGGGGTAAGCAATGTAGAGTAGCTCTGAATGATACAGTGTAGGACAGTTTAGTAACCAATACCTTTTGTTAATTTCAGTAGATGACTGCAATGCATATCCATAAAAGTATACTATAATCAACGTAGTAATTACGACAGTACAGGAGAATGGATTGTCGAGAACGATTATATGATAATAGTAATAGTAATTAATGGACATTTATTGCCTCTATACCCAGTCTATATCTAATACATGTATGAAGAGTTGATTCATTTTATGTCTATGTATTTCCAATGATTTAAAACCCTGATTGTTGTAATAGTCATTTCAGTTCTGTTTAACTATCTGAATGATCCGCACGGCTTATGGTGGTCCCCGTACTCTGTAAATAAATCCTGTTGATTCCCTTCCCTGTTTGTCTTCGCTTTTTCCTAATTTTTTCATCGGTTACAGTTCATCAGCCAAGCTTTCTTGTCTTAACATGCACCTGTACACATGGAAAATTGTAATTTTTCATCATTCCATGGGTCTATGAACACATCTGGTGATTTAGAAGAGGATTGCGATACTGTTGCCCCTTAGTTATCGCTCTGCTATGACGACTTCCGGTTGTTGTAGTGTCCAGTTTTTCAACATTAAATTAGATATTTCTTCAGAAGACGTATCTGGTCTACTCCCAATAGTTAGTGATTCATTATCATTGCATTTAATTGTGTATTTTGGCGTCAATTTGGCCCCTCTCGTCTCTGTTTTGTACTTGTCTGCTGCGGCGTATCCAGATAACCTCCTTGAACAACCCCTGAAAAGGTTATGTTCCCTGTGAGCTACTTTGGAATTTTCCCAGTCAATATGATTTTGCTGTGTGGAATGATCTGTTCCGATTTATTGATCTGGGACAAATCTTCAGCCTATTTCTTTGATATACGATACATCGCAGTTCTTACACCCGATTTCGTATATGCATTATGCGGAGTTCTCTTTGGGTGGACTTGGACATTTCGGAGAGTCTAGTGAGGTTTCATGTTGCAATACCATGGCATACCCTTGATATAAGGAATGACTACCTGTCATTTCATATTGTTCTTTTCCTTTGTGTTTCGTCTCTGTCTTTTCTTTGCTTTGCCTAAATTCGTTTACTTTATGAATTGCGCATCAGAGTATGTATCCACATTTTTCATGGTATTATGGAGGTGATTTTGATTTTGCTTCTTGTCTTATTCTCCGATGGCAATCGTTTCATTCCTGTTGAGCAAGATTCACACATTGTCTGGTGTATGGTTGGTGAGATCGTAAATTCAGGTTATGTTCCGTGTACGTCTTTTTACTACACACCAATACTTTGATAGTACCGTCATCTTTCTTTATTAGAAGAGTTTCAAGGAATGCCATCGATTTCTTCCTCATAGGTGAAGTTGAACGTTGTTGGTGGCATTTACAGTATTGATATGCAGTCAAATCCTTCCATAACCCTAATTTGATTATTTCCAATATGTTATTCACATATTATTTCCACAGACTAGGCTTGCATTCTAAGGGGGCTGTGACTATAGTCGCTTTCTTTAAGTGCTCCATGAATACGGTGGCCACAATACGAAATACTGGGCTGCCCATGACTGTGTCGAACCGTTGTTAATAAATGGTATATCGGACAACAAAATATGTTGTTGTATGCACAAATTTTAGTAAATTATGTTCTATCGCAATGGCCGGTCTTGCTCTAAATGGGTTCCTAATAATACCACGTGCTTTGTCAGTTGGTGAATAGAGAAACTACGTTAAAATTAAAATATGTATATGTTTAGTTTAAATTTCCATGCATTACTTGATAGCCGGGATCTGCTGTATGTCTGAAAAAATGTCAGATTTGTACCCTGGGTCATTTGAATATTGCGCCAGAATTCGACCCACAATTCACCAGTGTTTATACATACTGCACGTGCTTCTGAAAATGGTGATCATGACCTGTAAACACTCTGGAAGTAATTTAAGAAGGTACACATCTTTGACATATCTTGAGGACTTAGCTGGGCGAGATTCCTCTTTTTTGACATTACTTACCCGAAGAAAATGTTCCGAAATAAACAATAAACGATAGTTATCTCGCTATCAAACTCTTTAAAACATAATTCATCAATACATAACATGAGCTGATGTAACACACAGTAAGAGAATTCTGATGAACAAAACACCCAAACTCATAGCTTCATAACGACATCATTGATGTATTGCACATTCCTTCAGTTGTGTTCAAAGTACATTACAATACAATGACAAGGTTTTCAGTTGCTGCAAAATCAATTGCGCTATGTAAAACAATAATCATGACTATATTTCAAACCAGTGGTTTTTCTTTTTTCATTATTAATATAGAAACCTATCCACACAGGAAGACGAACATTTTTTATTTAAAATCCAAATCACAGATATTCTGTATAAATATGTAATGATCCTACTGAAGGACCAATGGAAATTGTCAATATACATAACATATTCTAATTTGGGTAAGGTGACGTTATATTTCACCTGAGTAAAGATCAAGTACATGTCTACCGCCTAGATTTTAGGTCGTCTTCCTCGCATGAGTGAACACTCGATACAAACGAACTTGACGAGCAGGAAGTTAATGGATAAAGTGTTAACATTCAGTGAAATACGTATTTTGTTTAGTCTTCGAACAACGCACACACGAATCATACCAAAATAAATCCAACCAGGAAGTGTAAAGCAATACATTATTCACTAACACGCTTAAACCTGGGAGTGCTTATGTAAAATACAATATCTTTGTGAGTGTGTAGATATGCCGATATCTTACCGACAGTTGTATTTAAAATGAATTAGACAATCCTTTTCCGTTTTTCGTGAAAAATGCGTTATATCTTAGCTTTAAGCGTTTATCAAAACCGCCAAAAATGGAACCATCGAAATGTTAGTTATAAACTAATTTTGCGTTTACTCCATCTCGTATAATGTAGGATAATAGGACAGATTTACGGCACAAAACGATATATATCATACCAGAAAGAAGATTAGAAAACAGTCCGATGAAAAATCTGTCATTTATTCTAATATGTAGTATTATATTTCAGTGAATTTTCGTTTCGCTTTGGCCGAAAAATGTCCAAATGACAGCAAAATGGCAAAATAGGTAACTCTATGGACAGTACAGTGCCATGTGGAAGTTAAAAGAACGACCATGTGTTTTCCAATGTAATATCTTTTATTGAAAAGAAAATATTCAAAAATGGAAACTAATATATCAAGAGCAAAGCCCATCAATGAAAATATTAATAACCAATATATTCTACATCAATGCAATATTACAGTGTGCGTCACTGTATTACGAAATCAACCAATAAGAACGCAGGTTTTAACGCAATACACGATCTGTATATTTAAGTAGCAGCTGATGAAGGCGTTCTCATGACATTCCATGCGTGACATAATTTTGAAAAAAAAACAGAAACATGAGCCAGACGTTTAAGGCACTATGCATAAGAACAGGCTGTATACACTCTTTGTTACTTGTAAACCTTAGAGTGTCGTGCCGATCAGGTCTAAAAATACCTTTCATAGTCCAGTCAGATTCTACCCGGCTGGTTGTTACATTCAACTATACTGCACGGGTTACAGAAAGAGAGTGTCTACAGTATTAACGACAGTCTGGATTTGTACCTATGTCGGATTAACCAGGTAAGATTTTCGGGACATTTATCTCTAGATGGGAGGAGAATAATTGGTCAGCCTAGGGATGTAACTAGCGTTCCAGTGGTGAGTAGATGAGATAAGTTATTTATCACTAAGGGGGCATGAAATCGGCCAGGAAACAAAGGTATGTATACCTGTTCAATAGTGCACAGGTATACACAAAATGGAGGATGGCTTTATAAACGATGAGGAGAATAAAGGTAAGGCTATGCCATACTTATATCTTATAATAACGTTTAATATTAATTGATAGGAGCGTGTTTATATCCTCTTTATTATTGGTAGGTAATAATGTATTGTTAAGCTGGGCAGGTAACTCTACACAGACGAATGAACCAGGTGTCTTACTTACTGTATCTTCATCGTTTATAGTTTATGTGGTGGTAGATAGATCCAGTTTGTAATGAATTTTATTTTCTTGAGGAGGGTTATTCAAAGATACAGGACAAAACTTCAGTAAAAGGTGACTTTAATATAATCCATTAACTTAGTTATTGCAGATATATATTAAGCTGAACTAAAATAAACACACAACATCGGAGACATTGTATAGCGTTTTAAAATTCTAGCCGTGGAAACCTTATATCAGACCTTATTTATTCTCTGTAGCCTGTTGTGTTCGTCATACTCTGTGTACTTTCAATGCAATAGACAGGATCCGAATGATTTACATATACTTAAATATACCTTACTACGTAACGTATTTATATAATAATAGCTTATTGGTCACGTCTTTTCTTATTAAACCGGATGGTAAATTAGTCATAGGATGACAGTGAATTAAATTGAATTTCTTTAGAACAAACTAACATTGAAAAACACCCATTCATTGATCTGACTATTTTTGGTTTTATTGGTACATTAATTCCACCAGTCCATGTACCATAATCAACGATACATCACTGAAGACATGAGAACTAGCAGCTTTACAATCATTAGACATATTAAAAATGACCACTTCCGATGTGTGAAGCACGGGCACACCCAGTGATAACCATAGGGTGTACATAGTTGTTTTGTAGGCTACTCATTACATTTTAAAATGGGACAGTTTGACAACATTTTGTATGTGATTGGCATGTTTGTATGTTTGATGGAATTAACGATAACATTGATATTCAATATTGCGATGTTTCAACACTGATTACCGGTTTTGTTGGTTTTGTTTCCTCTGTGAAAAAAACCCCAGAAAACAATAAATGGACGGATGCCAATGTTTTGCAGACAATATATCACGCACATGTATATACAAAAATAAATGTTGAATTCAATGTCTGGTGAATAATATGGAAATAACTTCAAACAACACGTCGGATAAAGCATTAGATTTCTGAATCTTCATTATGCGTAATTAAATTGGCTTGATACATTATCCATGACGTCATTGTTTAATATATATGTATATATATATATCGCATGTTTAAAAACAGTTAAGTGTACTCTGAACAATTCAATGTTACTTTACTGAAGCTCAGCATAATGTAATGCATATATTTATTTACCTGTAACATTGCATAAGTAAGTACGTCTCAAAATGTCTAACCTGCTGAGCTGTTCCAAAATCGTTTACAACTGGTGAAGCTGTTCAGTTTTATTTTGGCATTGACGTCCTGCTTGGTAAAGAAAACATGACTATGATGTACATGTGTCACCTATATTACGTATATCACCTGCATCAGCTATTTAAGGCTGTATGGAATATCACATCGGTTAGAAGATTATAAAACAAAACAACAAAACAAAAAACACACAAACACACCCACGAGTGAATTGCACATTTTCATTCAAATTTAGAGTGAGATGCATCAGCGCCAAACAATGAATTAAACAGAATCATACAGCTGTTTCGTCCTTTAAGGACTAGCCAGTCTTGCTAAAGGCCTAAATTGAGAAATCTAGAAGGCGACTAGCAAAAATTCGAAGTGATGAAAACAAATCTGGAAAATCTAGAAGGAGAGGTGCAGCAGCCCAATAATAAAAGACTTTTCGTATTTTCATAAATCAGCTAATTTCAGAACATCATCAAGTAAATTTGTAGATTCTGAACCCTATCATTATTCCAATGGATTGAGACGTGCACGGCAGGTTACGACAAACCAGAGGGACTGAAAGGGCACCGGCGGTCCCTACCACCTGTTATCTCAAAGACACACAAATTAATATCATCTGTAAATACAAATTTAGAGTAAGAGAAAGTAGAACGAAAGAATGAATTAAACTGCATCATACAGCTGTTTCATTCTTCAGTAAGAACCAATATTCTCACGTCAATTTCTGCAATAAAGTTATAAAATGGACTCTGTAAACATTCACTATTGTAAATAACTTTTATTAATATCACAAACTAACCCATAGTGCTGATAAGGAAGTCATGACCTGCCGACCTAATATCTCACACTGCCACTTCTGGATCTGGAGTGAGAGTCAACATGTCTCTCTTTTGTGATATAACCATTATTGTCTACATCCTGGTGGTGTTTGGTCTAGTGTCACTGTATTTATGGACACAAAGAAAGGAAATTTATCATAAGATCGAGGTTGTTTGATGGACATTATTATCAAATGATCTAAATATTTCCAGAAATTTGATAACTGGTGTTTGAACATTCTGACTACCAACTCTTATGTCTTTGTGAAAAGTTATTGTCATACTGTACTTATCAACCTCTTAGTTCCTGGAATTCAACATATCCAAGAGAGCAGCATTTCCATTCTTACTCCGCTTAAATTAACGATTCTAATAGGGATCAGTCAAGTGTTTGATGTATAGGGCTTATTGCTGAAATTGACGTGTAAATCTTTGTTTTGTTCATATTTTGCCATTACGTTTTTTGTCGGCGTTTTTTATTCTCTTAATTTGGTATAGATACATCTACATATTTAGGTTAGTTGGCTTGTTTTATCAGTCAAGTTAGTGCAGATAGGTATGACCTAAACACTATTAAACTCCATTCCCAGCAGAAACCCACCTAGTCCTTCATATGTTCCTCGCGTTTAGGGCACATAATCTAAGATATGAAACAAACAAATAGCATTAAGGAGAGTAAATTAAAACATCTTAAGATCAAGTGTTTTTCTTACGTTTGCAAAGTTTTAATCGAAAAGGGTTCTTTTTATCTCTACTATTCAATGACTGCATGTTAAAGTTGGGTCTTATATAAATATAGAACGAACAGAAAATCATTGTAGGAGAATGAAATAAAAACGAAAATGCAGCTTTAGGTACTGAATGAAGGATATGTTCAGGATTTCATGTACACCGCACATCACCAGTAATTTTCATCAAATAAAAGAAATGCTAACAAAACATGCATATTATCGAAACCATGGAAATCACTTTAACCAATGAAATATCATTATATTGAAGATAGCGTAGTAACGTAGAATAAATGTTGCTGACATTTATATCTTTATATGAAAGTCAAATTAAAGAAAAAGTATCTATCCTTTTGAACTCAGGGAATACATGTTTCAAAGTTTTCCGCCATATAGTATACGACTGACGTATGAACACGCCTTTAACCAGTACGTAAGACTAGAGTCACCCACCGAAAAAGTACAAAAATAAAACCAGCTGTTCTGGATGGTTAAGTATCGTCTGTTTCATCGACCACAACTTTCCAAGCTGTTCTAGATGGTTAAGTATCGTCTGTTTCATCGACCACAAATTTCTCATGTAAAAAAACCCCAACGAAACCACCACAGCAACATTGATGTGAAGCACCACAAGATTGATGAAAGAGTGAATTAGACCAATCAGGCAAAAATATTTAAAATGTTTCAATTTTCCAAAATGTCATTATATATTATATGTTATTATATTTACTGATCAGATATAAGCGTTTGTATATAGTAGTCTTGATACGACAGTGCTGTGTAAGAGAAGCACATTTAAAAAAATATGGTAGATTTTAAAACCAAAATACGATGTACATTTTAAAGCTTTACTAGAGTTTCCAGAAATCCATGTATTTGATACACAGACTTTTGAATTTTCCAGATTATTTTTCGTGTGAATATTTTAAATTTCGTATACCACTTTTGACTGCGCCACGTTGGGTATGTTGTATATCGTGGTATGCTGTGTTTCTGAGCTCTATTGGTATGTTGTTTTCTCATATCCTTCTTTTTCCTGCCAAATTGGGCATGTTATATGTTACTGTGTATTGTGCTGATGGCATATTCCATATTTATTGTGTTTTCAGTCAATGTCTTTGTCATTCTGTGTTTGTGGCATGTGAGTGTGCCATTCCGTTGTTGTTATTGGGAATAGTCTGCGCCATGTCCATGGTTTTGCTATACTTTGTGTATATCTATTGGTATGTTGTTGGAACGTTTTTGTTTTTGTGCGCCTTTTCTAGTATGTGTGGAAATGGTCTACACTACACATGGTATGTTCAATGTGGTTAGGATGTTTGGGATTGTCTCCGCCATGCATGGTAACTATATACATATATTCCAAGTTGCTGAGCTGATGATCTCCAATTATGACTCATTCTAAAACTTTCATACAAGTGTTATTGAAACATCCGCTTCGTGTATTTTCTTTTTTTAAAAAACCCTTTAGAGTATGCAATCGCACGTCTAGATTATGTCACACCCTTATTGATATTACTTGTGTCACGAAAGTTGAACACGAAGGCAGACAGATATAAATGTAAAGCTGAATAGTGTACTTGATACTATTTCAATAAGCACATTTTGCATCACTATACAGAAGTATATATTAATAATTCTGTATTCGTTATGCGATATTATTTTGATGTCATTCGTATCTACACTGCGTAAATGCGTTTTCGTGACCATTATTGCTTGTAAGAATACCCTGTAATTGATAAGCCTATTAGATATCCAAATTACGAATGTGAACAACTAGCCAATGCATGAGAGTAAGGGTCACAAATGCCTAACAATAACAGTACACAACGCAGTATCTTTTCATCCCATTTTCAATAAAGAGTGCAAATTATGCGTTTTAAAGTTAATATTGGGTAAATACCTCTCAGGTTCGGCGTTGTTAGGGCCTTATGTCATGAAGATTGTTTTATTTGATTGGTATATTTAAATAAAAGAAAATTTAATATGAAATTTGACAATTCCATAAACTAGATAATTTACTGAATT